GGCTCAGCTCACGTGCGTTCGTTCGCGGTACCAGGAACGTCGCGTTACAGCAGATCTTCTGCTCTCACGGGTGAGGCGAGGCGCCGGGGCAGAGACCACGTCTTTGATTTAGACCAACTGGTACCGTTGCAGAAGACGGACGAGTTTTCAGGCACGAGAGGTCGTCTTCCTGCAACGCATCTTTGGAAACTCCCTGCTATCCGCTTCTGCTGGGTGAGCTTGGGAGGGGGCACCAAGCACTGCCGGATGGGTTGGAAAAGGAGGGTTATGGGCAGCTAAATATGGCACGTGAGGAATGAAAAACCAGAAGAGCCTCGCCTTAGCCAAGGTGCACACACCTTTCCCCGTGATTGCCCCGGCAGGACAGAAGCTGAAGATCAGGAAGACTTCCCAGACTGCTCAGAAAATCAGTGGCAGAGTCAACCCCCAGATCCGGGATGTTCAGCTCCGTCATCCGCTGCTTGAGCGGCTAAGAGCTGGCAGCTGCTCTCACAAATAAAAGTTAACCCCCCCCCAAAGGTTGTCACCGGATCCACTAGGGCAGGCTGCAGCGTCCACGGTGTGTCCCAAGTCACTGGAGCACCAGCAGCTCGCCGCGGGATTGATTCTGTAAAAGCGCCTGTTGAAGCACGGCGAGGCGCGTTTCACCGGCACAAAGTGAAACAGCCCCCGGGCAGCAGCGTGTGCTCTCCCTACGCTTTCCACGGCAAAGAGCTTTTACCCCAGGGAGGCAATAAAAAGTTCAGTCACAGAAAACGCAATGCAGAAAAACGTGTGCGTTTCAAAACCAGAATCCAGAATCATCACGCCTCGGGTTGGCTGGATTCATCTGACCCCCGACTGCGAGGGCCTGAGCACAGCCGGCGTTAAATGAGTGACTGCTCTGCATTTGGACCAAATCTAAGGTAGTGGAGCAGCACCGCGGACGAATTTGGCCCGTGGCGTAGCATTAAGCAAGCATAAGAGAAAGCCACGATTAATTAAGAGTGAACCAGTATCTTATCACAGCAGCATCCTGTGACACGTCCTTGCAGCTCAGATGAGCCCCTTTTGGCACAGACGCCTCAGCTTACGGCCATCGACGCCAGCAGGCACTCTATAACGCAAAATCCTGCTGCAGTCCTGCCAAAAGAAGAGTTTTCCCTTCTCTGTTTTTTGCTAACATCGAAAAAACAAAGTCTTGCGTTGTAACAGAGCCCCAAGCAGCCACCTGCAGCGGGGACCACCCTGCACAAGGACACCGAGAGAGACAAGGGAGAAGCTCCTCCTGCGGCACTGAGGAGCCCAGCAGAAGCAGAGCAGCAGATCAGACGGGGCTTCCCCCACCTCCCTGCCCCACATTTACTCTCCTACTCGCAAGTGCAGCAAAAGAAAACTGGTGTCAGCTTCTCCGCTGGCACTGCACAACTTCAGCTCGCTTCAACGGCCAGATTGCAGGTGCTGGGGGCTACAGCGCGAAGGTGGCAATAGCGACCACAGGGAGGAAGGGAACGCACCCCAAGAGGTTCAGTACGTCGTCCGCAGCCATTGAGCAGACTCAACCCCGCTACCCGTCTGAGCGTAGCCTCCGAGACAGCTCTAAG